GTTGTTCTTAGTCTGGGGAGAGGGATGGGCAGTAAGAGGAGGAATCCCAGGGAATGGTGCTAGGTCTGGGGGGAGGAAGAAGCTAATGCACCACCCAACATAACTATTCCCTCCAGTGCCCACCTCAAGCTTCCACTGAAGTTCCTACACTCAACACTCTTTGATAGGAGTCCCGACCACAAGAAACTGGCACAAGCTGGACTTTGGGTCCACATGGAGTTACATGGAAATAAAGAGCCACGTGTAGTTGCGGGAACCAAGGGAGTTGGGGAAAGGTGATGGTGACTAAGTACAAAAGCAGAGAGAAAAAGACCATGGCAGCCCACGAAATCCTTGACGAAGTCTCCAGACTCCTCAGATCCTAGAACTAGGGTCCACAGGATATTTATAGCACAGGGCAGGCTGCGGATACAGCTGAGAATACAGCACTTCCCAAGACAGAACTGGGGCAAGTCCTCCCCATCACTGCCAGATCACTCAGAGCAAAATGCTCACAAAGCATGCAGGAGCCAAGAGGGTCTTATCTTGGGCGTGCCACTCCAGAATCACAATTTTTTTTATAAAAATCATGCAAGCTGCCATGAGATAGACCCCCTCAATGCCTGGGGAGTGAGGAGTCAACAACACAGATAACAAGACTGGATGTATCAGAAATAGGGCCAGAAGGGAAAGGAAAGGAAGAAGGTCCATGCTGGACCCTCTAAGGCCTACCTGAAATCACCCGCTGAGGCAGTTCCCCTCAACACTGAACTCTCTCAATGAGGCTGGCACTAAAGTGGGTAAAGAATTGTAGAGGCTACTTTAGTGCTGTTTACAGGTGGCAGGGAGGGCAGAGAGGGCAGAGGGTGGGCAGAAGTAGACCATGCCAACACCCAGGGATGCTCCATGTCAGTGTATGGCGGCAGGGACCCTGACAGGCAGGGATGGGGCAGAAGGCCTAGGCTGGGAAACCCACCTGTTCTGCAGGACATTCTTCAATCCCAAGGCCACCACACAGACCTACGGTCAACTACACATGCCCCAGCCCCTGGAACCTTAGAGACCTCCTAGGGCTTGCATGGAAAGGCACAAACCTCTCCCCATGCATGAGCTGCTGGACAAAGTCAGGAACTATTTCCCAGGAGAGGCTCAGAGATGAGTCACCCTCAACCTCTCCAAAAAGCAGGTTGTGTGCATGTTGGGGGAAGGGATGGATAGGTCAAGACATGGTTTAAAAGAGTGGGCACTCTCACGTTCTGCGTGGGGCGCTGGGTGTTATGCACAAACAATGAATCATGGAACACTACATCCAGAACTAATGACGTGATGTATGGGGATTAACATAACAATAAAAAAATTTAAAAAAATAAATAAAAGAGTGGGCACTCTATCCTCACCTTTTGTAATCCTTGAGCAGAGAATCTGCACAGCAAAAGTTTTAAGGGACTGCAAACATTTTCTCCGAAGAGAGAAAAATGTTGGCTCACCAGCACCCCTCTTAGGAAGACGACTACGTATTTTCATGGAGAGGGATTGCTTAGGGAGAAATCAAGAGAGCCTCTCCCCACCCCAGCCCCAGAAGGCCTGAATAAAATGAGGAGAGTATGCTGTTCAGCAAAGAGGGGAGGTGAAAGAGAGGAGATGGGAGAGAGTGTGAAGGGTGGGAGAGTGGCCCCCCCCCGTGAGATGCACCCCCCTAAACTGTACGTGAAGTTACTAAGCCTCCAGAGTGCCAGATGCTGGTGCCCGATCCCTGAGAAAGGGACTGGATCTCAATTCCAGTTGAATCCAAGCCTGGCAGGCCCTAGATTTCATGGGCCTCCATAGTAATTACAAGCACTAAATAAAAGGCAACTTCCCCCAGGCAGGTGCCGGAAAACAGAGTAAGCAGGTGGCTGCAAACCGGCAAAAAAACTTCTCTTATTTTTTTCTAGATCTTGGGACAGAACAGTTCAGAATCATTAAAAACATAAAACAGACTTAATATCACCTGCAAGGGGGCCTAGATCTAAAGCACAGCTCAGGCAGTTTTAATAAGACCCTGCTCTTTAGGGAGGAGGCAGGTGTGGGGGTACATGGCCAGGGGACGTTCATCCCTGGCCCTGCTGAGACCCTGGTGCCACAGAGCCCCCTAATAGGAAAGATGAAATTTCCCTGCGTATTACGGAGCTAAAAGTCAATTTTGAAACTATGAAATATGACTTTAATAAATGAATACATAAGCCATCAGGATCTGAGTCCCAGCACTGCTGAAAACTAAACTGGATTTAGTCCACAGAATCATATATACAGGACCAGAGCTCAGGGTCTGACGAATTTTCAAATCCACACCACAAGTGTCTTTGATTCTCCGGACAGCCCCCCCTTCTCTCCCCCAGTATGTGTGGGGGTAGTGACTCTGGGAGCGTGCAGGTGCACCTGTGTGTGCCCCTCTGGGTGTGTGGCCACAGGACTATGCATAGTGGCTATGTGTGTGTGTGTGTGTGTGTGTGTGTGTGTGTGTGTGTGTGTGAGAGAGAGAGAGAGAGAGAGAGAGACAGAGAGAGACAGAGAGGGACAGAGAAAGAGGTTTCTGTTCTACACTGCTGCTTTCAGTACATGAGTGGCTTTGTCACCACGAAGCTCAGAGCAGAGGATATAATGTAATGTAATGATGCTGTAGCTGCCAACAAGTTAGAAATCAGAAAATTCTCCCAGATGAGGCCGCTCATCACAGGGATGATACAGAACTTACAGAGGACAGCTCAATCATGGTGGGGATTTCCTCACAAAAGGCATCCTTCCTCCTTCCTCTTCTGTTCCTCCCCCTGTTCCTCCTCCCTTCCAACAATCACTGAGGCCCGCCACAAGCCTGACACGTTGTTTAATATATATGCTATCTCATTCAATCCACGGAAGAACCCTTCATCGTACCTATTTCCTTCTCCATTTTATAAATGAAGAGAACTGATTCAGAATAGATGACAGGATACATCCAACATTACAGAGCTAGTAAGTAGAAGATTCTTATAATGTGCTTTTTTTTTTTCCCCAAAAGCAGGAAACTGAGCTTGGTGCCAAAGGACCTAGGGAGGATTATGGGAACCTCAGTTTACCAATAATATGCCCTCCTCTAGAACACAAGACATGTTGCTCTCCGACACAAGGAGTTACAGGTAAATGAGAGGCCATATGCTTGCCACAGAGCTGGGACAAGGAGGGTACCCAAGAAATGTGCTCTTTCCCCTCCATATCCCATCAAAGAACAGGGCCAGCAGCGGCACTCTCCCTGCCCTGGATCACTTTTCCTCCTCATTTCACTTGCACCTGTGGCCCTATCCTATAATCCATTTGCATCAGGCCCTAGAGAGGGGTTTTCTAATTGGAGCCCTATGGCTTCACTGGGGGTATCGATGGTCTTACAGACACACTTACTTTATCCTCAGTTATACAGGGTGGAGGAGTGGTGGGGGGAGTCTTGGGATTAGGCATCCAGGTTCTTGTCCCCCCTTTTCCAATGATTGGCTATATGATCTTGGACTTCAGTATCCATCTCTAGACCTCAGCTTTACTACTTACATCAAAGTTCAGCAAACTATGGCCTGGAGGTCAAATCTGGCCCACCACTTGTTTTTATACATAAAGTTTTATTGGAACACAGCTGCATGCTTCTACTCATTTACATAATACCTATGGCTACCTGCATAGTCCATCTGTTGAACGCAGTCCATAGATGTTGACCTGAAGGATGTCTGAGAATTTCCCAGCCACTAACCTTGTCAGCCTCGGGTCCATTTTCTCACCACAAAGCTCAGAGCGGACTTTAGAGAAAGGTCTCTAAAATGCACATCTGATTATGTCACCTTCTTACTTAAAACCTTTCAACAACAGGCAGAAATGACTTATTGGGGTGATGAAAATGTTCTAAAACTGGTTGATGGTGATGATTGCATAACTTTGTAGATTGACTAAAAATCACTGGATTGCACACTTAAATGGGTAAATTCTATGACGTGTACCTAAATACATAAAGTGGTTTTAAAAAAAGAAAAGCTTTCAAGAGGCCCAGGCCAAGAGGGCCCAAACTGTGCTCCCCCACAGGCACACTCCGCTCTTCGCTCTTCGGACCGACAGCAGCCTGTGCCCTGTGTGTTCTCAGCCCACAGGGAGAGAAGGTGGTGGGGGAAGTGGGAGACGTGTTCAGAAGCTATTGCAACAATGTGGCATTGCTGAGACATTTTTACTACAGTCATGAAAGGACTGGTCCACAATGAGTTGAAAGGAAAAAACTGGTCTTTCATAGCCCCAGCTTGAGGGGCCCTGCTCTAGCGGAGGGGTCACATTTCATCTCCTTGGCCTGGCATTCAAAGCCAGCCATGACCTATTCACCTCTGCAAGCTGAGCCACCTGCATATCTCCTTTGTGACCCACCCTTAAACAAGTGAGAATTTCCAAACTCTGCAAAAACTCTCTCGTTTGCTCCTCCAGCCCCCGGCATGTACCATTCCTGACAAATCAAATGCCTTTTCCTTGCTTTCTCAATAATTACTTATTCATCCTTCAAGACTTAGCCTAGCTGCCACCTCTGCCTGGAAGCCCTCCGGGGGTTGGGGGGGTGATCTTTTGACCAGCTATCCCAGCTGGGATAACTATCCCAGCTCTCAGAACCTCACATTTTTCATCCGTAAAATAGGAATAATAATAGCACATCACTCATCAGGTGATTGTAAGCAATTAGTTTATAAAAGGCTTTAATGCCTCTGTTCCCCGCATTCTGAAGAGCCAGCTGTGTCCCACTGTACAGTAACTGCTTGTGTATCATGGGTCTCCTCTTCCTGAGCCTTCCTGAGCATGATCTCCAGGGAGGCAGGGGCCATGCTGGACCACCTCTGTGCCTGCCGGCCTGGCCAGGAGAGGCTCAGTAAACACAAGGTGCACAGTGAGTGAGTAAATGAAGGTCTTTCATAACTAACAAACTCTAGGTAGGGCAAGAGGTCTATAGATTTAGGATCACTTTTTAAAAAAATCAAAGAACACCATACCTGGTAGAAATGTGGCCAGAAGGTGCTGATAGCAAGCTCTGCTTTCACCCAGCCCTCGGTGACGACCCCAGACACGTTCCAGACAGGGTTCCCCTGGGGCCCGCCGTTCACCTTCACATAGACATTCAAGGCTCCCGGGCTGGACCTGTCGCGGCTGGAGAAGTAGTAATGGAAATCGATACAGTGGGTGTCATTCTCCTTCAGGGTCGGCAGGAGAAGGTGGGCCTTCTGGCCAGAGGCCCTCCCAGAGCTGTTCACCAACATGAAGGATCCTGGAGACCCACAAAGGGGACGGGAAGTAGAGACAAAGAAAGAGAAAGAAAATCCTTCTGATAATCAGTCATACCCATCAATGTGGGGGCCGGAAATCAGGTCACTCTAGGAGGGCCTGATTGATCCTGAGGAAGCCACATCCCCTCTCTCTTCTGTAACTGGGCATTTTAAAACCTGCTCCACAAGGCAGTTTAAAAAGCAAGAGATGGGGGCGCCTGGGTGGCTCAGTCGTTGAGCGTCTGCCTTTGGCTCAGGTCATGATCCCAGGGTCCTGGGACCGAGCCCCGCATCGGGCTCCCTGCTCGGCAGAAGCCTGCTTCTCCCTCTCCCACTCCCCCTGCTTGTGTTCCCTCTCTCACTGTGTCTTTCTCTGTCAAATAAATAAAATCTTAAAAAAAAAATTAATAAATACGTAAAATAAAAAGCAAGAGATGGGGGTGGCTGGGTGGCTCAGTCGGTTAAGCATTGAACTCTTTGATTTCAGCTCAGGTCATCATCTATACGAGGTCCTGGAATCGAGCCCTGCATCAGGCTCCATGCTCAGCGCAGAGTCTGCTTGGGATTCTCTCTCTACCTCTGCCCCTCCCCCACTGTTTTTTTCCCCTCTCTAAAATAAGTAAAATCTTAAAAAAAAATTAAGAAGCAGTAGCATATACCAATATTTCTACAAAGTAGACAGTCTATAAACATTTACAGAAGAAGCATTCTATCCAGCAGGTCCTAAGGGAAACAGAGAACAAAATCCCAGGAAGACAGCTAACTGCAGCCTCCAAGGGTGAAATGTGACATCCAACCTCACATAAGCTCGGGCTGTCTCAATGGAAGCAGAACCTCTACAATACAGGATGTGTCGTTCCAACACATTCCACAAAGACCCTTGCATTCAGGCCAAGGAGTAAATGCAAACTATCCATTAATACTGCAGTCAACACAGGGAATGACTCTATGTATCACAGGAGGACATATAAAAAGTAGAATGTATCCAAATAAGCAAGGAAGACTGAGGAAATGTGAGAACCAACTAGTAGATTTTCGGCCTGGAATGGAGGGTAAGTAATACTTACTAAGCACTTAAGGAGTACCAGTGTGATGTTAGGTGTCCTTTTAATATACTCTTCAATTTAATCTTCAGAATGACCCTGGGAGGTCATTTTATTTTGGAGAAGAGAGGATTTTCATTTTATTTAAAGACCGAATGACTTGCCCTGGGCCACTCAGCCAGGAAGGGATGGAGGAAAGCCAGATTCTCTCCAACTCAGCGTTTACACTATTGCTCTACAGCGAACGTAACTACAGTTTCTCAAGCATTAAGCAGAGTGCCTGCCCATAGAAAGGAAGGGAGCCTCTTTGGAGTTGCTTTGACAGATTAAATGGTTATTTCTAGTTCTTCAACCCTCTCTGGATCCATGTTCTGGGCCTCTCAGAAGAGGCAGAGGGTATGTCCCCAGCCCTTGAATTTGGACTGCTTTGGTCAACAGAACAAATCAAGCAGAGGCTTGAGACGTGCATGCCTAGCTGGGCTTGCCCCCTTGCACTCCCACCACCTTTCATGAGGAGAACGTGCCCCAGGGAGCTGCTGCCCCTTTCAGCTTAGGATCAAAAAGAGACATGCATGGTGGAGAAAGGAGCTCAGCCAGTGCTGAAGAACCAAGCCATCCCCACCATGCAGCTTGGAGAACAGCCACACGGTCAACAAGCCCAACTCCTATCTGCCAGTCCACAGTCAATGCTCAGACACACAAGTAGGAGAATAAATGCTCACTGCTGTTTGCCACTGAATTCCCTCTCCATTTGCTGGGCAGCATTACTGTGGCAATTGCTAATTGATAAAGGTGCCTGAGAGGCAGAGCTGGGAGAGAAACCACGGGAGGCATATTTCCATTCAAGGGGTCTTCTAACAATGGCCTGGAGACACAGCGAGTTAGTTCCCTGCCACGACAGATGGCTAAACAGAGCCTAGACAATGGAAAAGACATCTAAGGAAATTCCACAATCAACTGTGAGGGCTGAACTCTGTGACTTAAAGCCCTGTGATGCCAGGAAATAAACTGCATCATAACACACAGTAGATAAACTCAGGGGATCCTGGCATGAATATTCCTACCTAGAAAAAAACTATTACTTTGAAATCTTATTTTAACCACTAAAATCTTCTATTTGGAATGAAACCTTAAGACTGCTTATCCTCAGTTGAGATGAGCCACTTCAGAAAGTAGCCGCATTTATTCACCCTAATACCCAGAAGACTAAAGCTGCCAGCTAATAAGTGCTGGGCAATCTGTTGCTCGTTGGGGTTCTAGAGGGTACCAGACATCCACAGCCCATCCTCCCTGGGTTCTGAATGAATTTAAAGATAGACACAGGAGTGGGGCAACTGGGTGGCTCAGTCGGTTAAGCGTCAGGCTCCTGATTTCGGCTCAGGTCATAATGTCTCAGTTGTGGGATCAAGTCCTGAGTCGGGCTCCATGCTCAGTGTGGAATCTGCCTCAGAGTCTCTCTCTCCCAGTCTCCCCCACCCTCTCTCTCTCTCAAAATAAATAAATAAATAAATAAATAAATAAATAAATAAATAAAAACTTAAAAAATACAGATACACGAGAGAGAGAGAAAATTCAAAACCCTCTGTTTAATCATTCACAAAACTGGATTAGAGAAAGTATCTTGGACTTGAGGCCATATTAGGCTTCCTGCCTTCTCTTCTCTGCACCAGCACACACAGCAGCTAGATGGTCATGGCCTCCTTCCTTCAGACTCCACGCAGGTCCCCAGGGCCAGGGCTATCCTCCAGGGATGACCACATAGGACCACTGGCCAGGCCCATCCCCCAAACGAGCCAAGAAGAAGGGGGCTAAGAGAAATAGGACCCTAGGCTCCCAGACCGTCACCATCCCACCCATCAGAAAACTCTCCATCTCCTAGGATAAGAGCCACTGAAAGAGCCTCCCCCCGCCCCCCACCCCTCCATGTTTTTAAGACAGTCAAGTCTCCTTTCTTATGGCCTGGCAGTAACACGGGGTAAGTGGAGAGATGTCCCTTGTCAGATATATTATCTGTAATTATCACAACCTCCCCCATGAGGCAGCGAGGAAGGAACCGCTACATGGGGGAAATGGAGTACAGGAAGAAGACTGAGCCAGCATCCATGCCTCTATCTGTTGGTGTACATCCCACGGGGTTCCAGAGGGTTTCCCAGAAACAGGTGAGTGATGTCCCACCAGCCCCACGAATCTTGGGTGACTGGCCCTGCCACAGAGGTGTGGCACAGCTACGGGCAGAGAAGGCAGCCTGAGAAGTGAGCAATGCCTGGCTCTCTCCACTCAGAAGCCCATGGTGCCCCCATGGACATTTCAGCTCCTGTCCACCTGGCAATCCACACCAGGCGGCACAGAAGCCACAGCAGAGTCAGGAGGGTTTCCCTCCCACCAGCTCAGCCTCCTACTTCTTTTCATCCAAGCTCCAGTCATGAGGCAAGCTCGTGGAGGAGGCAGAGCCACATAACCTATATCCACTCACATAAGTTTAGGGCTACTCTCTATCTTGCTGCCCCAATGACTGGTGATAGAGGATGCTCCAACTCCCTGAAGACAGAGCTGGTGAAAGTGCTTGACCCTCCATTTGGAGAAACTGCTGGTGGATGGAGAGACCTGTCCTCTCTGTTCTGGGCACATCGCTGGGTTACATTCCCCAGCCTCCTCTTAGAGGGTGGTGGGGTCATGCAACTGGGTTCTTGCCTGAAAAGTTCTAGCCACTTCCAGGCTTGGTTCATAAAAGCTACCTCTCTCTCCTCACTCCTGCCCCCCATTGCTCCACCTTCCATTATCTTGTCTCTCAAAGGACTGTCTTTGAACCAGCAGCATCAGCATCACCTGGGAGTTGGTAAGAAATGCAGTATCTCAGGCCCCACTCCAGGCCTACTAAATCCAAATCTGCATTTTTTTTTTCAAGATCCCCCGGTGATTTGTATGCACGTTAAGGTGTGAGAATCACTGCTCCATTGTCTTTCCCATCCACCAGCCAGCTGAAAGCATAGGATTCCAAGAGAAATGGAACACAATAAAAGGAGCCTGGCTCCCTGAATGACCATGACCATGAGGAAAGGCCACCCACCCAATAGGAACACTTATTTTGGCTTTAAGTTAACAAGGAATAAACTGTTATGGGGTTATTAAGCCACTGAAATTGTGAAGTTTATTTCCGCAGCTAGCATTATTGTTTTGGCACCCCTGTAGAGCCCTTACTTCCTCCCAGTCCCTTTATTTAAGGGGCTAAAGACAAAAAAATGATAGTTACTAAGCAAAGCAGCAAGACACGCCAAATAGGGACATCACTAAGAGCAGTGTCCTAGTGTAAACAGAAGCTGAAAGAAAGGAGAAAAGGAAAACCATGCACTCTGAGCATGAATTCTCAAAAAAGCAAGAAATATCTTGGATCTTCATTAAGATCACTTGTCCTCGGTGGGCCAGAGCTGGGTGGGGTCAAGGTCACAATACCAAACACCCCCCACGACCATCCTGGCCCCTCATGTCTTATCTGGGTGACTTGATACACATGCCGCAGCCTTTAGACTGGACAGAAAGGGATGTGTTTTGGTGCACGGCTCAGAGAAATAGACAAGACCATTGAAAAAATAATAATAATAAAGGGCAAAAAAAATGATGCCTGCCCAGCCCACCACTCGCAGCGCACCTACCTGCAAAGGAGAGAAGGGTGCAGGCCAGAAAGGTACAGCAGGAGGGAGTCCTGCTCAGGAATGTCTTGGTGAAAAACTGGAGGAATGAGCAGCGCTGCTCTGCAGTCCAAGTGACAGAAGGGGACATGGGGAAAAGTCAGCATCAGCAGGTGGCACCCCCCACAGGAGGGCAGGGGTACTGCAGCACTGGGTAGAGGACTCAGTAGCAGCTGTGCTGGAACTCTCCGACGGCTTGCGGGAGTGCACTGCCCCGACGAGTCCAGAAAGGGCTCCTTTCCGACATGAAACACCCAGGGCAACTGATCTTAC